TGACCTACTTTGCAGTGCAGTGTGGGACAGAGGCACCAGGGTCATGGCAGGCAACAAAACTCTCTCCTGAACTGCAGCCAACAAGCATGTTCAACAGAGAACTCGCTTCTCTCCTTCGCTCTGTTGGAGCGCTCAGGCCTGTATTGTGTCTCTTCTTGGTGTGGAAATAAAATCTATAGATTGAGTTATTTCTACCAATAATGCACTGGCCGGTCAGGTTTTTAATTCATCAGAGGCAATGTTGTCTTGATTTGGTATATTTCATTATTGCCTTGTGTTTCTGAGCAATGCCACTGGCAATACACATTCAAACTAATGTGCACTGCCAAAAAATCAAGATGTTTTTAGTTTAAAAAAAAATCTCCCAGAACTGATAGCTTTGAAATTTTAAATTAAGGAAAGACACAGAGGTTGATCCACAATGTAGAATATGTACAGTTATTTCTTATTCACACTCAGATCCATAAGATAATGTAACTTCTATTTGTCTTGTTTTGTTTTGCTGTACGGCACTGTGAGGCTGCACTTGTATGAACTGCGCTGTATAAATAATCACAATAATGTGAGCTTTGATATTTATTACAGTCTTCATCACAGGAAGTGAAAGACACAATTCAAAAGATGCACCTAAGGTTTATAATTAGCTTTGGTCAACCTCACTGAGGGAACCCGAGACTCTTGATTAGTACCATGTCCATTCATGCTGTTTCACAGCTGATTAAATGCATTATTTATTCTTTTACTAGAGAACATCTCAGCTTCTCTTCTGTGTACAGCATTAAGGGAGTATCGGACTGTTTTGATCATGATTAGCATTCTGTTGATTCGTTTGTCCAGTTTTGCAATCAAATCCAGATCGTTATTTGCCTTTCTGTGCATATTGACCAGAGAATGTTTGCAAATGTTTTCTTTGTCTTTTTTCCCCACTTGTATTTTCATACCATCTGATGCAAACCCTTGTGGGTCACATTTTGAGAGGATTGGATCGTGAAAAACCGTCATACTATGCACAGTGTGAGTTAATATTTACAGGAAGGCTCACACTGCTCCTTTGTTGTACAGTGAATTTCCAAGGAATCAGGCTTCTTTATGACTTCCCCTGAATTTCAGGTCTTTCAGTAGAAACTTCTGCAGTGACTGTATTTGTCATTTGTTTGGCATAATATCATCCTCAATGTATGTGGACATGTGCTTAAACTGACTCAGACCTGAATATAGAGTGAATACACACTCACACATACCACAGAGTCCAACACACTCCTCAGCTTCACCCCCCCCTTACCCCATCCCTGGCTGTCCCTGTGCTGCTGACCTACATACTGCAACATCCCAGTTACATAACCAGTCAAGGCTGTTCATCACAGCAGGCAGTGCAGGGCCAACACCCTCCTCTCTCTGTCACACACACACACACACACACACACACACACACACACATTTAGCTATGACCTACAATTTTTCATTAACGTCTTTATATCACATCCATATCTTTGGTCAGACCCCACTGTTGTGCATATACTGTATACTGAAACACAGGTGGATTTAAATGCTTAATGTGTGCAAACATTGAGACAAAAATTCAGATTAGGTCAAACTATAATCTTCAGAGTCTGGCATTTCAAAGAAAGTTGTCAGCTGGTATCCCTGTGAGTCACTGTCTAACAGTCAATATTTACAGTTTTCCTCAAAGATACACATTTCTTCACTTGAATATCCCACCACCCAAATTGTAGTAAGTTAAAGAACTAAACAGTAAGCTTAAATTTTTGACAAGAGCCCACTATAACTATAGAGGAAGCCATTACATAGTAATAATGATGATGATGATAATAATTATACAGTCATATGAAAACATCATGGAGCTTAATACACCATCCTTTTAGCTCTGAGGAGAAGTTGATCACACTTTTTTTTTTTAAAACATCAGTTTGATGCAATGACAAAGTGATACATCAATGTAATCCGTGTGTGTGTGTGTGTGTGCGTGTGTGTGTGCACTACTGATCTTCTCCGTTAGGAAACAACAACAGAGGACTTTTTTTTTGAGTAGTTTGCGCAAGTTTACACAGTAGAGACAAGCGACGTAACCTTCCCTCCTTTTCTCTCACTGGCTCTCTCTCTTTCAGCTATCCACATTGAGTAACCTCTCACTCTCTCCTCACCCTCTCCTTTCCTTCTCCCTCTCCTCCATCCTCTCCTATCCCTTCTCACTGACCTACTTTTACACTCCTGGCCTGTTTTCATGAGCCTCTGCACAACACAGAGCAGCTTTTAAAGCTCAAAGATGGGTTGGGGAAAAAAGAGAGTGGGTCAGAGAGAGAGAGAGAGAGAGAACAAGAGATACTGAAAGGAGGAAGGGAAGGGGAAAAGGTGCACAGTCAGAGAGAGAATGAGCAAAGGCTAGTATGCTACAGCACACTGTGGTTTTCTTAGGAATGTTACCTTGTTACCACTGGCTGCTGGATGGCATGGAAGCGGAAGTGAGAACACATTAGAGTTTCATATTACTTACACAAGACAGCAGGTCTGTCTGTGGTCAGCTGCTTCCACACATCCTTCCTGTAAAGCAGAAACTGAGATGCAGGAACAAACCTCGATTACTGTACACCAGAAGTGCTGAGGATGCATTTAATTTATGTCACAAAATGACACAACATGAAGTTTATGCAGTAAACTCTTAGGATGAAAATGTCCTGGTTTTATTGGTTCTGCCTCACTTAGTGACTCTGGTGTCAGAGCCACTGTCCGGTGATCCTCAAGAAATTTGGGAGTTTCCCTGATGTTGCAACATGAGATTCAGCTGTTTTTGTAATGGCTCTTATGTAACCCTTGCATGTGGCACACTCTGCTCATGCAACTTGCTTTTCCCATCAGCTATTGTTCCATTAATGGAAAGGGTCAGATGGAATCCGACACAGTTTTCTCCCAAGACAGTTGTGTAACTTGATTTTGCTTGTTGCCGTTTGATACACTATGTGTTTTATCTCCCTTTAGTCTCCAAGCAAAGAAAGTGGTTCATATCACTGAGCAGTTCTGGGCTGGATTCTATAAGCAACAGAAAGCAAAGTAACGGAACTGTGTTTTTTGATGCAGCACTACTTTATTTGTGGTTTAAAGGCTGGCCTGTTTTCTTCCACCTGAGTTTCTGTGAGAGTAGCTGCTTTTATGTGAGCAGATTTAACTTCATGGCAATTTTAAATTCACCCCAATTTTGATCATGTTTTCTTGTGCTATTAATGAATCAAAGTAGTTTTTATTTTTCTGGCCACTTGAGGAAAGTGGAACAATCTGTAAATGTGTATGGTTATTTGTTGAATGTAAATGCAATGTTCACTCTCCTTTTTACTCTTTTTTGGACTCAAACTCTTTAGGGAAATACTGTATTTGGCTTGTTTTAGCTGCTTTACATTTCTCACACACTGGTTGCTAACTTTGTCTGTCATTTGGTGTTTAGAAGGTAGCGTAGTGTACAGTCAGTGCGTCAGTATTTTGTGTACACAAAACAGCTGACTGCTTTAGACAACACTGATGAAAACAATATTTTGCACAATAAAACCAATACAGTGAGCTGAAAGATACTAAAATGGCCAAAGCATTCTCTACGACTATCCTACAATATCAGGTTATAGCGTTTCTGCACTGTAACTCCATTCCTTGCCTGTGACTTTAACAGATTATATTTCAGTTTAAATAATATTTAAAGCTCTTTGACTTGCCTTACATTAATCAGAATCAGTTATTCAAAGACACTGTTAACTGTTTGCCATCTTTTAGGCTATTAATGCAGCTCCTTTCTCTTTGAGCTGACTGCTCAACCTTGGGTTTTTATGGTTTCTTTAATATCTTATAATATACTGTGAGCAGATAGTCTGTTTACCTATGTACACGTTGTGATTGCGGTGACTTGTCTTTTGTAGCTGTCTCTTCAAACATATAACATGACTATTCAGACTGATGTTGGGTTTATCCAACAGATTCCCTTCTGTACTGTTGTACCACACAGTCTGTGCATTGTTTTCAGTGAATCTCTGGCAGTAGTGAGAATGAGGTAATGACGCTGTGAATATGTTAAGTTTTTCTGGCTTTGTCAACTCCCGCTGAGCTGTACTGGCAGACTTGGATGTTGCTGCGTGTGACCTATGAATCAGCTATTTGGTCTGCTAGAAAAAGGCTGGCCTGGATGTGAGTGCATTTCATAAACATGACTCAAAAAGTTCAAAAGAGACACGTGTCAATTCAACAGCCTTTTATTTTTCCCCCATTTTGAATCTTTCACGGTCAAAAATGGGTGTTTTTTTTTAATAACCATTTTGCATATCCATGTGAAGTATAGCAAAACATGATCACTTCCGGACAAACCATATTAATTTTTTTCTCCCATTTCAGTAAACAACAAAGATTATACAGTAACACAGAGTACAAATGGTAACTGGGGCAAAGGGCAGATGGGTAAATACACAGCACAACCAGGAAGAGCATAGAGCAAAATGACACAACAGGATAGCCAAAATAATAATCCAATATAATAAAAAATAACAATATTAATAAACTTGTACAGACTGTTTGATCTACTCTGCAGCTACTGCAGCTAAAACAACTCGGTGTGGAGGTGAGCGGGATTATTAGGACAGCAGCCAGCGCAGGGACGAGGGACAACACGATCAAGAGGCACCTTATGAAGAGAGAGCAGCTTTGCTGGTTGCGAGTGAAGAGCAGTTTCTCTTATTTAGACAGACAATTTGTTTCTGGGAAACAAAGATGTATTGATCTTTGTGGCAAACAAAGCTTGTGCTTGTCGGGTTTTTCCCAACAGCAATGTGTAACTGCATAGCCTTGACAGATATGCGGATAACTGGCCTTGACTGGGTTTGATAGCTTTGTAGGTTAGAGATCAGGGATCACCTGATCAAGGAACCAGAGCTGATCAATAAATCAGAAAAAAAATCCACCTGTATTTTTTTTTTCTTTCTACAAGTTGCAACTCGTACTTGTAGCTAAAAGAAACATTTTCTAGACAAGGGGTTGTACAAGGCGCCCCCCCAAAAACAAACTGATCACTACTTCCACATCCAACTGCTTTACTTTTTGTTGTTTTTGACACATTTTCTTCTTAAAATATAATTTCAATATATGCAAATTTATATGTCACAGTAATGTACAATCTAAGTGCTTCAGAAGTGAAGGGGGCTTGTGTGCAGGTAAAGGGTGGACGATCAAATGTACAGATGTGTTGAGAGAGAGGAAGAATCTAACTCTTTGCCAAAGAGGGAGACGCTAAAGGATGGATGTGTATCTTTGGTTAAACAAATGTTCCAATAATGCCACAATAAATGCTGGCCAGCCACCATGGCAGGTTATAGTAATGAATAACTGATTGTTTGAATTTTCCACAGGGGAAATATCCCACACTCCGCCTTGGTAGAGTTTTTATTCTGTCTACTCCCTCATGAAGTGATCTATTATCCTAAATGAAGGATTAATGGGAGGTAGGAGATAATAAAAACAGGTGACACAGTGAAACTCTGATGGTGAAAACGCATCCTAACTATGCCTCGTTTGCTTCTTTCTGTCTTGTAAGGTGGTGATGTGAGTTGTCTGTCTCCTGCAGACAGCAGAGAGCTGACAGGAAAATGCTCAAGCTGCTCATATTTGTCTTTAATCTCGCCTCTTATTACGCCCACTTCTCCCACTGATGGATCCCTTTGTCCCGCCATCTGTTTTAGCCTCCGCCCTCTCATTCACCTGAGGCTTGACCTCTTCTGCATACTCAGTCTCATTCTCCACCTCTCTGCTCTCTCTGTTGGCCTGGCCGCTGTGAGGGTTGCTGGGTAGCGCTAGGTAAGGGTGTTGGGGCAAGGTGGGAGATGGGGACATGGAGGTGCTGACTGGGCTCTCCACCTGCACTCCTGCTGCTCCATTGGACAGTGCTCTGTACTTGAGGCGGAGCTTGTGAGGGAGGGCAGTGGCTTTGACCTCAGCGTGGCACTCTCCGTGTGACCCAGCAGGTCCCGCCTCCTTCTGGTGGTAGCTGCTGATGTCTGAGGAGGATGAGGAAGGGGACTCATCATCTGTTGAGCCCTCCTTGTCAGAACTACGAGGGTCCACGTCACTGGATGAGGTGTCTTTAGCAGAGGAATGCTCCTGGTAGAAACCATCAGCCCTGGGGCCTCCCTCATAGGTGAGCAGAGGGGGCTCTTCGTCCAGTGTGTTGAGGTAGCCATTGTGCTGTGTGTAGGATGATTTGCCCTCTTCGCTGTTGTGGATCAAATCAGGGACAAACGGGTTCTGGTGGCTTTCTGCATGCTGAGGAGCATTCTTCTGATCCCGGTAGCTGTAGTGATGATGGCTGTCATGCTGCTGTTGGTTGCTGGGATTGTATCTTTGCTGCAGCTCATCTGCCGACTCAGCATGACCAGTGGTGAATTCATACTGAGGCAAGTCCACAGTCTTTGTCCTCTCTAGCTTCTCAACGACCTCTGTGATGGCCACTGAGCAGTCAGACAACTTGGAGGTCAGGGTGTGCGGGCCATGGGGTGGTGGCCTGCTCTGCTGGGAGTGCTGGTCCTCGATCCTCTGGCTGTCCATGGGGTAACAGCCACTGCTGGACCGGTACAGGATGACGCTTCTCTGTGTAGAGGTGGCCTGAGGAGCAGGGCTGGAGGCCTCCATGTGGCACTGCTGCTGTTGGTTGTGCTGGTAGTCCATGGCACTTTCAGCCAACATGGTGCTCTGTTGGTGTGGGGAGACCAGTGCAGTGCGGTTGCCACTGTAAGTTCCATTGGATATCCCATTAGTGATGCCACTGGAAATCGCGCTGGCCATCTCCGTACCTGAGGGCTCTTTCTTTATGTTGTAACCCATGGGTTCTGGGCTGTCTCTGGAGGAACCGTCAGACATGTCAGAGACAGAGCCTCGCGGAGAGTACTTGTGGAGCGTGGTGTGGCGCTCACCACGGCTCGACTGTTCGGTTTCAGATGAGTCTGAATTCAGCATCACCTGGGATGCACTGGAGTAGCCGCTGCTTGAGAGGTAGGCATTACTATTTGGGGTGCCATTGGTGCAACTCCCATTGCTACCAGTGTTGCCACCTGCAGCACTGTTGGAAATTTGCTGACTTTTCTCCATGTAGGAGGCTGTGCTGATGAGGCCGAAGCGCAGCTTGAGCTGAAGGAGCTCAGTCTTTAGGCGAACATTCTCCTCATTAAGTGCCATGACCCGGTTCTCTAGCACCATGTCATTGAGCCGACGCTTTTCTCTTGAGCGCTTCGCTGCTTCATTGTTCTTCCTCCGTTTTTCCCAATAGGAAGCGTCTTTTTTCTCATCAGAAATGAATTCTCGCTTGCGACGGGAGGTCACAGTAGGCTTGCTACCTTTAGCCTGGCGACTGATCCGCACTCCAGCTTCAGGACCAGGGGATGGGAGGTTCCCGCTGTAGGAAGAGAAAGTGTCTACCTCCATAGCATTCTTGTTGCTGGCAGAGGGTATGTGTAGACTGAGACTTTCCATTTTTCCCAGCTTGGATCCAGAGTGTGACTCTAGCAAAGGGTTCAGGGCCAAGGGGGAAGGGAAAAGATGTAAAACTGTATCAGCTTTCTACTTTGTTACCAAGATGTTTCACCTATGTCGCTGGATCTGCAAAAACTTTGGGATGAGGTATTTGTGTTCCTCGAAGGGAGAGCCACATTGATTTCTGTTATTTATTTTTAAAGATAAAAACATTCAAGTGTCCAAATTAGCCAGGAAGATTAAGAAGAGGTGGAATGCCACAAAAACCTCAGACATTGAACTAGTGTTCTGAACAAGGCACCTAAAAAAAACAAAATGTGTATGTTTTCAGCAAAGAGTGATCCAGCTGTCTTGGCAAGTAGTTCGAAGGAGTTTCTGGAGCCTTGCTGTAGATGATTTTTAGTTTACTGGCATCTTCCTCAATCCTCAACAGAGCTGTGATGGCCGTCAGGCTGCTGCGCTGCTTCTCTCAGCATCTTACACAGAATGTAGGTCAGTTTGTCTAATCCCTGAGGATCCAGCTTCAGTGCTGCTGTTTGCTGACCACTAAGTGGGTTGCAGAGAGAGAGAG